AACTCAAAGGGAGAAAAGAGTCTGTTTTTAAATCACAGAATTCCAGCACTGGAAAGGCCTTTAGAAGCCATCTATCCATACTATAACCAAAAAAAAATCCACTTCACAGAATTCTATCAAGTGGTCAAACACTCTCTAATTGAAGATCTGTTCTGAGGGACAGACCCACTCCCTCCTGAAGCAGCCCAACCAAGTCCACTTTTCAGGAGCTCTAATGGCCAGAGGTGAGCAGCTAGGTAGAGCCACAATGGATAGGGTGCTGGGCCTGGAGTCAGGAAGACTCAACGTTCTGAGTCCAAATCTGGCCTCAGATACTTCCTAGCTGTGTGACCCTGGGCAAGTCACTTCACCCTGTCTGCCTCAGTTTCTTCCTGTGTAAAATGAGCTGGAAAGGGAAATGGCAAACCACTCCATTATCTCTGCCAAGGAAACCCCAAATGGGGTCATGAAGAGTCAGATATGACTGAAAATAACTCAACAACAACAGCAAAAATTGGTAGAGAATTTTTCCTGGAATCAAACCTGTATATTCCCTCTCTACAAGTTTCACCCTTTGTTCCTTATTCTGCTCTAATCCTTCTTCAAATTATGGTCCTTCAAGTGTTACAGACAGTTATCATGTCTTCCACCTAAGTCTTCTCTTCCAGGACAAACATCCTTAGTTTCTTCAACTAATCCTCATGTTTGGGAAAGCTAGGTAGCATAATGGGTAGAGTTCAAATCCAGCGGCAGACAACTTACTAACTGTGTGACCCTGGGCAAGTCACTTAACCGCCGCCTGCCTCAGTTTCCCCCTTTGTAAAATGGAGACGATAATAGCACCAATCTCCCAATGAGATAATCATTGTGAAGTGCTTAGTGAAGAGCCAGGTGTGTAATAAGCACGACATAAATGTTAGTGATGATGATGATGAAGATAGATGGATGATCATCAATCCTCTCACCATCTTGGTCAATCTCTGTTCTCATATTTCAGTTTCAGAATAGCCTCCCTAACATGAGACATCCCAAATTGAACAGAGTACTCCCAGAGTTAACCGGAATAGCGTGGCATGCAGTGGGACTATCACCATCACCTCTTTTATAGACGTGAAGCCTTTCCTAAAATGTACCCTAGGATATAGTGTTTACTTTTTTTGACTTGCTAGATCACACTGTTAATGCATGTTGAGCTTGCAGTCCACTAAGGCCTGTGGATCTTTTACATAAGAACTGTTATCTAGCAATTTCCTTGCCATTCTCTACTCAGCAAGTTGATTTTCAGAACTCTTATATAGAACTTCATAGAATTGATTTGAATTTATTCCTTAATATTTCTTATGAGATTTGGCCCTTTGTTTTGACTTGCTGCAGCCTCTTTGTATGTTTTCCTTCAAAGGTAAGATCTCAGCATTGTTATAACTGTGTATCTTACAAACACACTTTCTAAATCACTGATCAAAAATGTCCAGGTGGTGGCTGATCTGTGCTGAGTTAAGAAATACAAGGGGTTCTGTTTTTCAATTGATGTTCTGCTATCCTCTGAACATGTCCCACATTTTCAAGCCTTTATAATTCCTCCTGAGAGTGCCTTTTACAGATAAGGAAAGTGAGGCATAGAGAGGAGACAAAGTGATGTGCCAGGGTCATACACCCAGAGTGGCGCTTAGAACCTCCACTGTCCTAACTCTAGGTCTTACATTCTTTCCACTACTCCACATTGTCTCTGTAACAGTTAATGATTAGAATTTCCCCCAAGTCAAATGGGCTGCCCCAAGAGAAGTGGGTTTGGCCCTTATGTTAAGCCAAGGTTGGATGAAAACTTGACAAGGATATAGTCAAGAGGATTCTTATTTATTTACAGGTTGGATCAGGCAGCATTTATGTAACACTGTAGGGTTTGCAAAGTGCTTTACAAATATTATCTAATCCAATCCTCACCACAATCCTAGGAGGGAAAGCTGTTATTATCCCCATTTTACAGGTGAAGAAACTGAGGCAGACAAAAGTTAAGTGACTTGCCCAGGATCACCCAGTTAGTACATATCTGAAGTGGGATTTGAACTCTGGTCTTCTAGACTCCAGGTCCACCACTTTGTCCATCATACCATCTGTCTGTAGGAGGTGATATCTGAACTGTGGGGCACAGACCCACTTAGAGGACAGGGTATAAAGGGTATAAAGGATAATCCAGCAGAGGAGACAAACAAGAAACAGTCAGACAAGTAAAAAGAAAATGAGGAAAAAGCAGTATAGCGAAAATTTAGGGAGAGAATGATATGAAATGAGAATTTCAGATGCTATAGACAGTTCAAACATAATAGAGACTAAGAAAAAAAGACAATGGGTTTACTAGTTAAAAAAGAGCAGTTTCAGTAAAGTCAAGGTAATATGGCCAGTGACTGAAGGAAAGATTCTTGGAGAAGATGATGGCATTTAAACTCATCCTTGAAAGAGAAATAGGGTTTTTTTTGAAACTGTGGCTCTATTTCACCTAGGCTGGAAGTACATAGTCTATTCACAGTCGCTAGCCCAGTATGGATCCCTACAGAAACTTTAACTTGCTCTGTTTTTCTGACTTGGGACAGTTTGTCCCCCACCCTTAGGCAGCCGAGTAGCCCTCAGCTCCTGGGGGCTCCTCATACCTGCCTTGGTGCAGACACCCATTGGCTTCAGCCCTACTACAACTCAGAACTTGTAAACTCGAGTGATCCACTAACCTCAGCCTTCCCAGTACCAAGGATTATAGGTGTCCTACCACACTTGGCTGATGCATAGGATTTCAAAAGGCAAATATGGGTAATTCCCAAAGACAGGCATTCTAGGCATAGTAGACATAAAAGCTAAAAAATATGGGAAGTGTTCATAGAATAGTGATCTAGTTCCACTGGGGCATGGAGTACGTAAAAGAGATTCGTATCAGATAAAGCTGAAAGGTATAGCTAGCACAGAGATTCTTCGCAAAAAAAAAAAACTTTTATTTTTTCCCTGATTACATATAAAAATAGTTTTTAACATTAGTTGTTTTTTTTAAGTTTTGAATTTCAAATTCTATCCCTTCCTCCCTCTCCCACCCCTCCCCCTGAGATGGTAAGCAATGTGATATAGGTTATACATGTACAGTCATGTAAAACATTTCCATATTAGTCATTTTGTGGAAGAAAACAAGAAAGAAAGGAAGAAAGAAAGATAGAAGGAGAAAGAAAGAATGACTGAGTGCTTCAGTCTGTATTCAGACTCCCTAGTTCTTTCTCTGGACATGGAGAGCATTTTCCATCATTAGTCCTTTGGAATTGTATTGAATCTTTGTATTGCTGAGAATAGCTAAGTCAGTCATGGTTGACCATTACACAACGTTGCTGTTACTGTGTACAATGTTCTTCTGGTTCCGCTCACTTTGCTGTTTATTAGTTGATGTGAATCTTTCCAGGTTTTTTTCTGAAATCATTGTGCTTGTCATTTCTATTCCGTTATAATCACATGCCACATCTTGTTCAGCCGTTCCTCAATTAATGGACATTCGCATTCTTAGCTACTGCAAAGAGCTACTGTAAATGTTTTTGTACAATTAGGTTCTTTTCCACTTTTTTGGATCTTTTTGGGATACAGACCTACTGGTGGTATTGGTGGATCAAAGGGTATGCACAATTTTATATCCCTGTGGATAGTTACAAATTGTTCTCCAGAATGGTTGGATCAGTTCACAATTCCACCAACAGTGCGTTAGTGTCCCCAGTTTTCCTACATCCCCTCCAACATGTATCATTTTCCTTTTCTGTCATGTTGGCCAATCTGATAGGTGTGAGGCAATACTTCAGAGTTGTTTTAATTTTCATTTTTCTAATCAGTAATGATTTAGAGCAATTTTTCATATGACCATAGATAGCTTTGATTTCTTTGTCAAAAAGTGTCTGTAGAATAGAGCTTCTTAACCCTTTTTTCATGTGTCATAGACACATTTGACAGTCTGAAGAAAACTATGGACCCCTTCTCAGAGTTATGCTTTTAAATCCATAAAACAGAAATTCATAGGATAAAAAGGAAACTATACTGAAATAAAGACATTTTTCCCATCCAAGTTCATGTATCCCCTGAAATCGACAGAGTGTTTGGAGGCTTATGGACCCCATGTTAAGAACCCCTGAGTAAGATCCACATTGCGAAGCACCCTGAATGCCAAGCTAGAGTTTGGACTTTATTTACTAGGTAACTGTTGTAAGAGACTATTTTTATTAACAAAACATATCTGCCCTTTTGCAAAGCCCAGTCTTTTAACATTCAACTTTTTCACTCAGTGACTTCAATTATTTCTCCTGGCTTGATTTAGTTAACTGGCATTTACAAAGCTCTTCTCTGTTTGGTCCCTCCATATCCTTGTTTATTACATTCAGATGGTATTGGAATATTGCCCAATTTGGAAATATTAATACACAAGTAATGAAGGCACAGGTGTTAATCTTTGTCATATTTTTTACTGTCCTGGATTGGATATGAGAGACCTGAGTATTCTTCACTCTTGTGAACTGAAAAACCAGGGTTATCTTCTTTACTACATCGATAATTCTTTTCTTTCACACTGTTCCCAAAGAGAATCCCAACACTAATTCTTGGCAGGGCTTTGGTTAACCTTCGTAGGTCAACATAACCTTCTGTTCCTTGAACAAGACCCTCCATCTTCTGACTTCTGGCATTTTCTCTGGCTGTCTCCCATGCCTGGAATGCCCTCCCTCCTCATCTCTGCCTCCCTGCTACAAGAAGCCTTTCCCGATTCCCCTCAATGCTCACTAGTTCTTCCCCTCTATTAATTATCTCCAATTTAGTTTGTATATGCTATTTACCTGCTGTCGCCCTCATTGGATTGTGAATTTTTTGAAAACAGGGACTATTTATTGCCTTTCTTTATATCGCCAGCACCAAGCACAGTGTTTGGTATGTACTAGGTGCTTAATGTTAATTGACTAACAGTTATAACAATCTAATCTTCCCCTTTTTCCATTTGCAGCTGAACCTCTAACACCAAGATGGGGAAACAGAACAGCAAACTTCGCCCAGAGGTGATGCAGGATTTGCTGGAAAGCACAGACTTTACTGAGCATGAGATCCAGGAATGGTATAAAGGCTTCTTGAGAGACTGCCCAAGTGGTCATTTATCCATGGAGGAATTTAAGAAAATATATGGGAACTTTTTTCCTTACGGGGACGCTTCCAAATTTGCAGAGCATGTTTTCCGCACTTTTGATGCAAATGGAGATGGAACAATAGACTTTAGAGAATTCATTATTGCCCTGAGTGTAACATCGAGAGGCAAACTGGAGCAGAAGCTGAAATGGGCCTTCAGCATGTATGACCTGGATGGCAACGGGTACATCAGCAAGGCCGAAATGCTGGAGATTGTTCAGGTAGGTCTTGTCCATCTACTTTCCTGAATTCTTGAACTCAGGTAACATCAGGAGCACCAAAACTGAATTCATGCCCCAGATCAGAAACAGAGTGAAGTAGTCAATTGTGCCCTGGACTTGGAACCAGGAAGACCTGGGTTCAAACCCTGCATCAGACATTTACCTAGCTGTGTGACCCTGTGCAAATCACTTGAACCTGTCTGAGGAGGTTGAATTCAATAACCTCTAATGTCCCTTCTGGTTTTATAATCCTAAGAGGAAGAAAAACTATGAAGATTTTTGAGGAAGATCCTTTCATTTTCAGAAAGCTGTGTTTAAGGGATGGGAGAAGGGAGAGGCAGAGGAGACAGAGAGATGCTTATTATAAAATGCTTAAGGAAGCCAAATTCCTTTCCCAAGCATCTGGGAACTCTAGCAAACACCAGAAAGGGAGGCAGTGGCAACCAGCTTGTAAAGCATCCCAATCTAGTAAGAGATCTAGGAATATCACAAAGGTCTAGAGAGGAAAGAGTATGCAAGAGAGGGTAGTCAATAGAGCTAAATGTAGCAGAGATGTTGAGAAGGAAGGGGACAGAGAAAAGAAAATTAGCTCTAGCAGCTGAGAGATCATGGACAACTTCAGAAGGAGCAGCTTGAGTATTAAGGTCAGAAGCCAGACTGCAAAAGATCATGGAATTATGGGAATTAGAGCTGGAAAGGACCTTAAAAGACAACTGAGTCCAGACTGAGGACAAGAATCCTTTAGAAGAGATGGGGTAGCCTTCATAGTCAATAAAAGGGTGAGAAAAGCAGTACTGGGGTATCATCTAGGAAATGGCAGAATGATATCTGTTTGAATCCAAGGCAAACCATTCAGCATCATGCTCCAACCATTGATGCTGATGAGGCTAAACGTGATGAGTTCTATAAAGACCTACAACATCTTCTAGAAATAACACCCCCCAAAAATGGTGCATTCGTCATAGAGGATTGGAACGCTAAAGTAGAAAATCAAAAGATAATTGGAATAACACGCAAATTTGGCTTTGGAGTATAAAATGAAGCAGGGCAGAGACTAATAGAATTTTGTCAAGATAACCCCTTTTCAGTCTAAAGCACTTTAATTAGATTAGAAAGACTCTAGGCAACTATTTTTCCCAATCCTTGTTAGGTATGCTCTATCCCTGGCCAAGGTTTGTCATGGTCCAGAAATCTGAATCCTATAATCAGATATATCTCCTTGCCAGTGGTTCAGGAAGTGGTGATTGGGAAGAAGTACAGCAAGCTTCCCTCCCCAAAATGAAAACTCCCAGGAACATCATAGCCCAAATCCAGAGCTTTCAGCTCAAAGTGAAAAATGCTGCAAGCAGCCAGAAAGAAAACATTTAAGTATCAAGGAGCCACAGTCAGAATTACACATGATTAAGGAGCAAAGAGCTTGGAATATATCCCAGAAATTAAAGGTTTACAACCAAGAGTAATTTACTAGAAAAAATATGGGAAAATGGATTTTTAATGAAATAGAGGGTGTCTAAACAATCCTGATGAAAAGACCAGAGCTGTGTAGAAATTTTCAAGTACAAAAATAAGAGTTAAAAAACATTTAAAAATTAAATATGAGTGAACAATCATAAAGGATTAAACAAGGATAGACTTCTATAATTTTAATATGGGGAGATGATGCATGTCTCTATTGAGCCTTATCATCATTAGGGGTCACAGAGGGCCTCTAATTACATAGAGGGCCTAGGAATGGTTCTGTTATATCTTGATTATATTAAAAGCAGAATAGATATATGTCATTCCCCAAATTAATATGCACAGGCAGTTTTCAGATGAAGAAATCAAAGCTATCTATAGTTAAATAAAAATTCTCTAAATCACCATAATTAAAGAAATGCAAAACAACTCTGAGGTACCACCTCACACCTATCAGATTGGCTAATATGGCAGGAAAGGAAAATTATAAATGTTAGAGAAGATGTGGAAAAATTGGGACACTAATGCACTGATGGTGGGGTTGTGAACTGACTAAACTAAATAGAGAGCACTTTGTAACTATGTCCAAACTGTACATACCCTTTGATCCAGTAATACCACTGCTAGGTCTGTATCCTAAAGAGATCACAAAAAAGGAGAAAGGACCTACATGTTAAAAAATGTTTATAGCAGCCATTTTATGTTGGCAAAGATTTGGCAATTGAGGGGATGCCCGTCAATTGGGGAATGGCTGAAGAAGTTGTGGTATATGAATGTAATGGAATACTACTGTGTTATAAGCAATGATGTATAGCCAGATTTCAGAAAAACCTGTACATGAACTGATGCAAAGTGAAGTGAGCAGAACCAGGAGAATATTATTTGTTTGTTTTTAAATAATTAGTTTATTTATTTTTAGTTTTCAGCATTCACGTCCATAAGATTTTGAGGTTGAAGTTTTCTCCCCTTCCCTCTCTGCCTCCCTCCCCAAGACAGCGTGCAATCTGATATAGGCTCTACTTATACATTCATGTTAAGTGTATTTTCACATTATTCATGATGTAAAGAAGAATTAGAACTAATGGGAGGAACCATGAGATAGAAGAAACAAAATATAACAACAAAAGACAAGGAGAGCAAATAATATGCTTCCATCTCCATTCAGACTCCATAGTTCTTTTTCTGGATGTGGATAGCATATTCCATCATGAGACTTTTGGAGTCGTCTTAGATCCTTGCACTGCTGAGAAGAGCTAAGTCTATCAAAGTCAGTCATTGCACAATGTGGCTGTTACTGTGTACAATGTTCTCCTGGTTCTGCTCATTTCATTCAGCATCAGTTCATATAAGTCTTTCCAGGTTTTTCTGAAGTCTGCCTGCTCATCGTTTCTTATAGCACAATAATATTCTATTACATTCATATACCACAATTTATTCAGCTATTCCCCAATTGATGGGCATCCCCTCAATTTCCAATTCTTTGCCACCACAAAAAGAGCTGCTATAAATATTTTTATACATGTGGGTCCTTTTCCTGTTTTTATGATCTCTTTGGTATACAGACCTAGAAGTGGTATTGCTGAGTCAAAGTGTATGCATAATTTTAGAGCCCTTTGGGCATAGTTCCAAACTGCTCTCCAGAATGGTTGGATCAGTTCACAACTCCACCAACAATGCATTAGTATTCCAATTTTCCCACATCTTCTCCAACATTTATCATTGTCCGGTTTTGTCATATTAGCCAATCTGATATGTGTGATGTGGTACTCAGAGTCATTCTGATTTGTATTCAATCAATAGTGATTTAGAGCATTTTTTATATATCTGTAGATGGCTTTAATTTCTTCATCTGAAAACTGCCTGTTCATACCCTTTGACCATTTATCAACTGGGGAATTACTTGTATTCTTGTAAATTTGATTCAGTTCTCTATATATTTTAGAAATGAGGCCTTTATCAGAGACACTGGCTGTAAAAATTGTTTCCCAGCTTTCTGCCTCCTTTGTTTGTGCAAAAACTTTTCAATTTAATGTAATCAAAGTCATCCATTTTGCATTCCATACTGTTCTCTATCTCTTGTTTGGTCATAGATTCTTTCCTTCTCCATAGATCTGATAGGTAAACTATTCCTTGCTTATAGTATCAGTTTTTATATATAAAGCATGTACTCATTTTGACCTTATCTTGGTATATGGTGTAAGATGTTGATCTATGCCTAGTTTCTGCTATACTATTTACCAGCTTTCCCAGCAGTTTTTGTTACATAGTGAGTTCTTATCCCAGAAGCTGGATTCTTTGGATTTATCAAATAGTAGATTACTATAGTCACTGAGTATTGCACCTTGAATATCTAACCTATTCCACTGATCTACCATTCTATTTCTTAACCAGTGACAAGTAGTTTTGGTGATTGCTGCTGTATAAAACAATTTAAAATTTGGTACAGCTAGGCCACCTTCCCTTACATTTCTTTTCATTAGTTCCCTTGATATTCTAGACCTTTTTTTCTTCCAGATAAACTTTGTTATCATTTTTTCTAGCTTTATAAAATAATTTTTTGGTAGTTTGATTGGTATGGCACTGTAATAAGTAAATTAATTTAGGTAGAATTGTCATTTTTATTATATTAGCTTGGCCTACCCATGAGCAGCTGACTTTTTCCAATTATTTAGATCTGATTTTATTTGTGTGAAAAGTGTTTTGGAATTGTGTTAATAGAGTTCCTAAGTTTGTTTTGGCAGGTAGGCTCTCAAATATTTTATAATGACTACAGTAACTTTAAATGGAATGTCTACAGTAAACTTTAAATGGAATTTCTCCTCCTATTTCTTGCTGTTGTACTTTATTAGTAACATATAGAAATGCCAGTGACTTATGTGGGTTTATTTTATATCTTGCAACTTTGCTAAATTTGTTTATTATTTCAAATAATTTTTTACTTGATTCTCTAGGATCCTCTAAGAACACCATCATATCATCTGCAAAGAGTGATAGCTTTGTTTCTTCTTTGCCTTCTCTAATTCCTTCCATTTCTTTTTTTCTCTCATTGCTAAAGCTAACATTTCTAGTACAATATTGAATAACAGTGGTGATAATGGACATCCTTGTTTCACTCTGATCTTATTAGAAATGCTTCTAGCTTATACTAGCAGAACATTGTACACAGTAACAGCAACATTGTGGGATGATCAGCTATGTCTGATTTAGCTCTTCTCAGCAATACAGTGATCCAAGACGATTCCAAAAGACTCATGATGGAAAATACTATCCACATCCAGAGAAAGAACTGATGGAGTCTGAATGCAGATGGAAGTATACTGTTCTTAATTTTTTTTGTGGGTTTTGTTCCTTTTGCAAACCGTAATTTTTTTGCAAACTATTTCTTCTTTCACAATATTACTAATATGGAAATAGGTTTTACATGATTGCACATATATAATCTATATCAAATTGCTTACTGTCTTAGGGAGGGGGAGGGAAAGGAGGAAGAGAGAAAATGGAACTCCAAATTTTATCAAAAATGCACGTTAAAATTGTCTTTA